TTGTTTCCCTTCTACGTGACTTTACCGAAAGAACCAAGAATATTCACAGTTCCTGCTTCTAATTTCTGGAATGCTTTGCCCTAGTCTGTGAGGGACACTCAACTTCTTAAGGCCCGTCTGAAAACACATTTATTTTCTCTTGCATATCCGTCTGTGTATGTTTGTTTTACTGTTGGTTTTAATATTAATTTTTTTTTACTGAGATTTTGTTGTCAAGCGCTGTGAGGCCTCGTATAATTTGGGCTGTATAAAACTGAGTTTTACTTACTAAAAAAAAACAAGAATGTAATTTCAAACGGATGGGACATTTTAAACTTTATAGGCGGCACTAATGCATTCGCATTTACTTGCACATCGTAACACGCACTTTTCTTCCTTTGATTAATTTGAACATCCATTTTTTTAACCATTATCACCAGCTGAAAAAGAAAGTAAGCTCTGCAAACTTCCGCAATCGCTGAGCGCATTTAAAGCCTGTGGATGTAACTTCACCTTCCTCCTTAAGGTTTCGTCAGGTCATGTAACACGAGAGACCCTTTTTCTCCACCCTGACATTTCAAATAGGTGACATTGGGCCACTGAGCCGCGTTTGAAAGGGCCTACGCATGCGCGTCTGTGCTTGACGCTGGCAGTGGCGTCTTGTTTATGTTTGCCCTGTCACATGGGTGGAGTGGCTTAAGGGGAGGGGGGGGGGCCTGTCCGGAATCTCGCTAATACCGACGCGGATTTAGCACGGAATTACTGTCCTACATCCTTGGCGATTTAAAATCCTGTTGTTGCTTGCAGCTGTTAGGGCACTTTGCAGCCAAGGAAACTTTAGCCGCTGGCAGTATAGCCAGCGTCTCCTTTCAAGTGGCCGGCTGCGGTTTTGCAATGAACGTGTGAAGTGGAGCAAGTTTTGTTGACTTTGTGGGACGGCCGCTGTTACTCTTGTGCGCGTGTGTAACTACTTTACGAGTAAGGTTGATGTTGCTAGCGTCTCTGGCCATACGTGACAGGAAACGTTGTGAACTGTCTTGCAAGAACTTTAAAAACGGTGCACACGCCTTTGCGGTAACAGCCAAATGTTTTGCCGCGTTATTTTTTATCGAAAGCAACTGCGGACTTAACAGAAGAAGAACTCGGAGCTAGCGACGAAGTGAGGCATCGGACACCGGAGTCTAGGGGATCGACGGAGACAATTGGCGGTGCGAGGTAGCGGTTGTATTTCGACGCCAAATAGATCCAAACTCGATCGTATTGTTCATAAAGAAGAACTCTGGACTTGACCCCTACGCATTCGGAAGCAACCGCGTCAGCGCGATCGGTTCTCTTCGATAGCCTTGGCTCCTTCGCGGCGGCCGCAACAAGAGCCCATGCGGGCATGGACGAGGCGTTGTTCACGGCGTTCTCGGCGGGCGCCAGCGGCCGCTCGCTCGCCCGCTTGCGCCTCGCTCGGGCCTCCGATGAGGATGAGGAGGGCGCTTTGGCGGCAGGGGCCACGCAAGGGCCGTGGCTGAGGAGGTTTGTACGGACCAGCTCGCAGAGGAGGCCGGTGCCCCCGCCGACGTCCAGGAGCCAGCTCATGTTTGGCGGCGGGTGTTCGGTGTGTCGCATCGCTTTCGGCGACCTGCAGGGAATTAAGCTACCGCATGGGATGCAGCAGGTACACCTGGGACGCTTTGTACGCGGGTGTGCGCGGGTGTGCGCGTCGGTGACATGGTCAGACCTGGGACGCTTTGTACGCGGGTGTGCGCGTCGGTGATATGGTCAGACCGTTTAACACGTGGAGATGCTTTCGGGTCTCGTCTGCAAATTTGAACACAATACCTCACGATTGCGGTTAATAGCGGTTTCTCGCTTCCAGTACTCGTCTGTCACTTGCAAGGAATGCCGTGAAACTCTGTTGCCAACCTCATCTCATACTATTGGAACTTACCATTGTGTTGTAATGTATATATATATTTTTTGGGGTCGGATAGTTTAAGTAAAATGTGCGTCGTAAACCTTTCTCTACCCGATACAGCCGATCAATAACGTCGTCACGTAAACAAACGTGCCACTGGAGTGTTGGGGAGAAGTTCACAATAATTGTGAGAAGTTCACAATTGTTGTGAGCAACAACGTGAACTTCACAGTTCCCTTCGATGTTCTTCTTGCAGTTACTGTTTATTTAATCGGTTGTGCCGGGAGGGTTTTACTCACACGATCTGACCCAAAAATCAGTCGCGAGTTCTAATATTAGGTGTTAATGCCTACGTGTTAAATTTCCCATTATCTTGTTGTGCTGCCCTGGCTGCCGGGAATGCCCTGGCTGCACTGGCTTCCCTGGCTGCCCTAGCTGTGGCTCGTTGGTGTAGTTGGTGCTGGGTGGGCCCTTGTTGCTTTGTTCACAGGCTGTGCTACAGTGTTGTCCTCTCCTCTCTCCCCCTTCCCCACCACCGCAATCCCGTTCTACACGAATGTCTTTTTTTTCTTTTCTTTCTAAAGCATCTTGAAAGTGTATTTAGATGCTTTATACATTGCAATTGTTGTCCTCGCATTGGCAACAGCTATCTGCGGACATCTGTGAAAAAGAGCTTCGTAGCTCATCAGATTTCTCCAGGATAAATAAAAATTCAGATTCTGAATAGTTTTTCAAACAAAGACTAACCAATTGAAATGTCAAGGTTTTCAATTGCCTTCAGTGCCAACTATACAGTATTCCGATTGTATTATGACTTGATAGTAGTCTCCGATTGCTGAAGCTATGAGAATACAATTTTTAATTAACCTTATCCAAGTTTCAACTTTGAACTCTTTGCTTTTGAGTATATTCAAGTTACTGTCTAACAAATGAGCCCCTCTACTTTTTAAGTGTTCTATATCAGATGGTGTTCAACTTCAGAGAGCATAGGTGTGACTCACATTAGCCAGCACTCCCCAGGTCCCAATGAACCTGTTCAGAAAACACAAGCTCAAATTACCATATCACTTGCATCTGTTTCTCTGAAGCTGGTTGTAACTAGGCTGGCTATTCAGGCCCACATGCATGTGTGTGTATGTGTGTGAAAGGGAGTCCACACACGATCATCCTGCCAAGGGAACTATATTGTTCCAGCAACTCCAACCTGTAGCGTATGAACACAGTTGATGATAACCAGCCTCTTCTTCTCCAGAGCCCCACGCCCTCCCCCCATACCCTCTCCTCTTTCGTGCCAATGATTTCCCTCTAATCCCCTATCCCCCCTTCTTCCACCTTCTTTGCCCCCCCCCACACCACTCAATCCTTACGTGACCGCACGAACTCTTAAGCGTATGTACAGTCAGTTCTGTAAAATATACTCGAAAGCGTGAAATTAAATGCCAGATGTATATGTGCATGTTGAACTTCTTTTGCACCACATGTACATAGCCAACTTTGATAATTGGAGGTTCGGGTGAAGGACAACAAACTAAATACAAAGAGCAGTTCTAAAGAACCATTATAAAAGTTAAAAAGACGTGTGACACTCCGCTTTAAATATGAAGGCAACATTTATCAACAGCAATTAAAGGAGAGTAATAATACATATCTAAAGTAATCGTTCATGTTAAGTGAAGGAATGTTGATTGATGAAGATACTCTATGGAAACTTCATTTTCAGCTATTTACCAGAGAGCTGATTGAGTGAGTGTGGTTAAGTCTATCCATGTTAACGATGTGCAAGCTCTAGGAAACTTCACGCTCGGGAGATTGTGTGAAGTCCAAAAACTATTTTGGCTTGAAAGTTTCCGTAATATTTGGTGTCAAATACATATGGACCAAAACATGTAAAGCTCTATATTTATGCATTTGAGGACAGAAAATGTGTTCTGGGTATTCCTGTACTTGCTGATTATTTTAGAAATGCCAATGTTGGAGCGTCAAATGCAAATTACCATGTGCCCTTTTCCAACTCGCTACATTCCTGATAAGCTGGAACTACTACAACTTGTACGTCGGCATTAATAAGGTCTCAGATTTTGTTTTATCCATTCTCCTTTGTGTAACACACACATGGATGTCCAATACATTCACTGCATATGCTGCATTTATTTTTCTTTATTCGGTCACCAATTCCAGACAGCCTTCCCTAGCATAACACAGCTTGGAAGAATTGTGGATATTTCCAATGTAACATTGGCCTTTTGTTTTAAAGCTTTCGAGACTGCAGGGATTCATATTGTTGGTTCTTTCGGTAAAGTCACGTAGAAGAGAATTTTATTGTTTTATATTTTTGTTATTTTATTTTTTCCCTTCTACGTGACTTTACCGAAAGAACCACGAATATAACATTGGCCTATTGATTTTTCGATGACCCAAGAAGACAAACTGAAGCGTGTGGACACATTTTGAATCACTTTTACAGACCTTATGACCCGTTAGACCTGCTGTTATTGGCATTTACAAAATAATAATAATATTGATTATAAATAATAAATTACAGCCCTTGTCAATCCACCACTGGATGAAGCCTTCCTCATGCCGTGGCAATTATGCTGGTAGATGCGGATATGTAGAATTATAAATAAACTATAAACTATTTATTATTTTACCAGGTAAGGCCCACTGAGCTATATAGCTCTTTTGCAGAAGCGACCTGGGCACAAATGAAAGGTCAACGAAGTGATTTATACCAGTCAAATATTCTAAACACATGTTTATAAATGTGGAGGGGAAAACCGGAGGACCCGGAGAAAAAAAATCCACGCGGCCATGGGGAGAATGTGCAAACTCCAAATATACAGGCGTCAGGGTCTGCATCAAACCCATGAGATCCTTTATACCCCGCGAGGTTGTTAACATCTCGCCACTGTGCCACCTCAGTGGCGAGATGCCTGGGACCAGTTTTAGTTATCACTCGCCACTCATTCCAACCCACGGCCTGGAAACAAACTGAGTTCACAGGGTTCCGCTTGGAAATTTTCAAATGGGAGTGCGATGCAATGAATTGATGCAAAATTAGGTCGTTGGAGATGCCGCGTGACTTGCTGCTTTTGCTTTGGTCCCATTTGCGCAGGCGTCGCCGGACCTGCGGTACCAGCTGCGCCTCACCTTCTTTGACCTGGTGTTCCGTAAATTCTTTGGGTGCACGTGGATGAGCCGGCCGAGGGCAGCGGCCACCGACGGCGGCAGCCCCGGCAAGTCGCGCTCCGTGTCCTTCAACGCGGTACGTCGGCGCATGTCAAGGCTGAAGCTGGCGGCAGCCAAGATCTGATTGAAGCTTAATTGATTTTTACTCGATAGAAAATTCGTAAACGTATCCTCTGGATGTGAATGAATTATATGTTTGTACTCGCTGCATAAAGCCTGCCTTCGGTGACGTAGCATGCTTTGAATATTTAGGCTTTGTTGTGGTTTTATGGGGTATCATACAGCATTGGCCGTATCAAATGTGTGTGTCGCAATAATGTGTTTTGGTTTGACTTAAGCAGCTAGTGCCAACGCATGGCTCTTATTAGTTATCATTTTTCTAAATGTACCCTTTATCAACCAATGGATGAAGGTCTCGCCAGGCCTGTTATGGCACATGTTTGACCATACTCCACGCTGGTCAGTGTGGGTTGAAGGGTGGCTCATAACTGGATCACATCACTTGCGCAGTGCAGAAAAGACTGCACCAATTCCGAACCCCTTTTTATTACAAAATGAAACAAACGTTAGTATCAAGTTGCTTTGCTATTCGGGACTCGCACTATATGAAACCAGAATAATTAATCGGAATATTTTTCTTGGAGAAATCCGATGAGCTATTAAGCTTTTTTTTTTTTTTTACAAATGTCGAGTCGGGGCGGTGAAGCAAATTTTTCCCGCAACTTGGAGACAAAACCAGTGCTAAAAGAACTTTGTCTCTCGGTTGCAGCCCTGGCAGCTGTTCGCCATGGCCTATATCGTTAGTTGGGGGATGATGATGATGATGATGAAGTGTCAAATTAAATAACTTCCAAGGCTAAAGGCATATTGCGAAGGTGTACATATGCATTCCGTACACACAGTTGTATCTTCATGTTGTTATTCGTAAATGTGGGACTGAGAAACATTGAGATTCAGTCTTGAGGCTTCATCTTCGGCAAATGCATTTTCTTGTACCCCGAGTATGTTTTGCTGCTAGCTTGCTGCTATAATTTTTAATGTCAATTCAATGCTCCAGACTGCTTCTTAGAACTGCCAAAACATTAAATCGCTAACTGATCCGATTTAGAATGAGAAAAAATTTGATGAGGAAAAATTATACTAATATTCCTTGGAATTCAACATTGACGGTACATCTGTTTAAATAACGAAATAAATAATTTGTCAGCCTACGCTCATAAACATTTAATGAACTTGGCGGTTGCCATTTGCTCCCGTGTAAGAGCCAAGGGTGTCTCACATGGTGATGTCGTGTGCGAGCCACCTGCAGCAGAAAGCCTTAACACATTCGTCAATTACACTGTGGCCATAAAAGAGAAACATAAACATTTCAGAGGCGACGTTTTCATGCAATGGCCTTTGTTTTAAAGCCACTGCCAACACAGAATCGCCCAATCACCTGTAACAGGTGGCTTGCAATGTGAGCTAAATTGTATTCAGAAGGCGTATGCACAATGCGGTGGTTATTTCATGGTAACCGATGTATTCATTATTTTATTTGCTTACGCTGTGCCGTGGAGTTGCATGAAACTAGAAGCTTATTATACATCGCCTTTATTTAATGAGGTCTGTATTTTAAGTAGCCAAACTTAATAAGCTAAAATATTTGCGATTCTTAGATTTCCAGTGAACGCACTCCATCATTTAATAAGCCAAAATAAGGTGGCTTATTTAAATCTGTTAAATTAGTGGGAGAAATATTCCACGCTGCCCTGCAAAAAACGATTACCTTTGGTACTGTGTACTTTCTGCTCGTTGGTACAAGAGCTTGGTGAGATAGAGAAACATTTTAGGAATTTATGTCGAGTACCTTTCGTACTTTTTAAAGTGGCGCATTCCAACCCTTATCGAATTGAGGTAATTTGGGCGTAATCGCACCATCATGTTTTTTTATCATTGGATGCAGTCTTTTTTTGGTTGTAGTTGTTCTAATTAACCGTGGCTGTGCCTTACCCTCCCCTGGGTCATTTGATGCTTTTGCCAGCAGTCAACGCTCGCTTTCCTTAACCAGCGCATCGACGTGCCTGGGGCATCATTAAGTGCGCTCGCCATAACCTCACCCTGCCCCGCCGCATCACTCTCTACGATCGCCCTCGCGAGCGTTGTCGGTCGTACGGCGGCGGATGAACGTCGGAAGAATGCAAACGTCGGCCGTCACTGACGAAGAGTTTCATTGTGCTCTGCAGTGTTTTTCTTTCTTTTGTGGAAGCGTCAGAAGGTCTCAACGGAGCTATGCTCGTTCAATACCGAGAGTAATATCCAAACACTCTTGCTTTTGCATTCAAAGCCTACTCCCGTGCCTAACACGGTTTAATGTAATGGTTTAATCAATATGTTATTTTCGCCATGTTTATAGGCTCCGCTGCGGGCTCTAATTGCATCTTTGCATGCGCATCGAAGTGTTTAATTAGGTCTTTAAAAAAAAAGCCTTTGTATGCTGCATCTGCAACATATATGCCCGTATCTTGCACATCTAAATGCAAGAATTGTAATCGAAGGTGTCACGAATTCTAAAGTGTCGGACCGTTGGTGGTGATGGCTTTCTTTCTTAACCGTTGCCCATAGGAGACGAATGGCAAGGTCATTAAAAGTTTCCGATTTAGAATTTGAATACGATGCTAATGAAGGGGGGAAAAATAATAATACACGCACAATACACGATTACATTAATTGGGCATGGTCAGGTATTTCTGTTGTAATTTTCGCATTGTAGTCGCCGTGCAGTGTAACGTTGCCATGGCCGAGTGCGGAAATATCACAAAGTACAGTCGGTCGTGTAATTGAATGATAGCGCTGTTCTTTTTTTTCCCCCAAAAGTATTTTAGCAACAAGACGATATCAGGTACACAACACACAGGGCATGAAAGGGGGTTGCCTACCAGCGCAAACGCACATTACGGATTACAGTGCAATGGAAACCTGTCTTAAACCGCATGTTTCAATAAACTCTACAACCCTGAGTGGCTTTCCTAAGCTCTGATACCCCTGTAGGAGAAGGAGAAAAAGTGAAGGGAGGAGAAGTGCCTAATTGACCTCATGAATGGTCTTAGGAGGCAATGCCCACTGGAGGAGAGGTAGTGAAGGGATTCCATGTTTGGTGGTAAGCTTCCTCCCTGCCCCTTAGTGTTGGCACTTAGATGCTCTAGAGCGGCGATTTTAATAGCAGCTGTTCTTTCACTTGCACCTCTGAAATGAACACCCTTGCGTCTGATGGAGCAGTAGGCATGGCACGCTCTTAAATCTTCACCTCCACCATTCATCGTTCGAGACGTCGCCTTCCATTATCTCCCATTCACTGTTTAATTTCGACATCGACCTTCGCTTTTGATTTAAGCCGGAAATTACCCAATGAGCTATGACGCTCCGACTCGAGTTTTGGGTTAGGCAATGGTGGAACTTGCAGGGGAAAGTTAAATATCTGGATAATTGAAGCAATTGTACATTAACACAAACGAACAACAAAAGTATATATACGAATAATAGCGGCAGTAAAAAGGAAAAATACCGTCAAATTCACAGTTGGCAAATCACACTCGCAGGGTGTTGCAAATGTGGCCGTAGTTGGCATCAAGCAGTAAATTCATCAAATTGAGTGAGGAGGACATGGGGGGGATTCCAAACAGTGGGGGTCGCAACAGTAAAAGCTGTGGTACCAAATCCCAATTTTTGTCCTCTGGATGAATCTGTTACCAATTAACCTATAGTTGTGCTATGGGAGTGATGTAAAGCGATGAAAAAACTTCCTCTGGGAACTCTGGCAGAGCATCACATTGCTCTGTCAATGAACAGGTTTGATAAATATTTGTTTCACTTCATTGAACGGCCTTCTTACATGTGTAGCGTCAACGATTCAGAGACAGAGTTTCTCGGAGGAACTTTCTTTATTAACAACTTTCATGGTCTTCTCCGCACACTCTCCACAGTAGCTCAGCCTAGCCTGTACACAACACGAGCCGTCTAACGCTGACGGCGCTGACTAAGATAGCCGACTGCTCTCCTTCGTAGCGCAATATCTAGCGGAGATGTTAGCGACGACGGCGACGAGACGACAGCGACGATGAGACGAGTCCACTCCCAGAACTGGCAGCCTCGAGCCCACGCTCTCGGCTCCTTTTATGCTCCCAGCGTGGCCTGGCTCTGCCCCGACCGCGCCTCCCTTCTCGAACCCGCTAGCAGGTTCCAGGGGTTTCCAGACGGGGTCCTCCGAGACCCTTACCCTAGTTCCTCTGCTCTGCCTGCACCCCCAACACGCCCTCACCGGCGTGTGTGCTGTCTGTCCGCCACAGTTGCCGCTGCTATCCACAAACCGGCGCTATTACACTACATATGCAACACCGGCCGTCATGTGAGCAGTGTTTTGTTTGCTCGCATGTCGTTTAACTGAAAATTTAAGTCTTTTGACCTGGACTCTGCCACATTTAAGTGAAAAATCACAATTCATGATTACCTTTGTTAACCCAGGAAAGCCTCGCTGAGTCTCAACAGTCTTTTTCACGAGGGTCCTGCCAAGTATTTTGCAGTAGGGAACGATGTTGCTGTGTGTTATGCCAGTTGATTAACTTGTAGGAATATTTTTTTTGCATTTTGATGTTGTATTTTTTTTTATCTGGGAGGAAGCCAGAGAACCATGCAGTCTTTGCTAACTGGGGCGAGATCATCTCCTTGATGCACTTGAGAACTGTGTTTAATTGTGGGCAGCTGGCCCAATTCAAACCCTGAGTTTATGGCAGCGTTGGTTCTGTGTGTGCCAACGTGGACATTGAGCCGATGATCTCCCTAGTTTGGAGGCCAGCTCCCTAGTTTAGAGGACAGCTGCTCGTTGCTAATATGTCTGTACATTTGCAAGCAATAAATGCATTTATGTTATTTACTAGGTTACCGAGCAACGCATGGACATGGAACCATTTAAAGGAGGACTTTTTTTTTTTAAGTTGTGGCAATGCGTCCGCTCAAAAGCTTTAGGGAGAGAAAGCTCCTGCCTGGGATCAGATATACACTGCCCCCCCCCCCCCCCCTGCAACCCATGTTGATATTTGCGATCAATGCTATTGGCGGATCCTATTATCTGCACCTTCCACAAAAATAACTCCTGACATCTATCGCATTGGTTGCCCGGAGATAAACGCAGATAATAGGATGATTGTGCCGCCACTTCTAGGCGACTCATCTTTTGTCTGAAAATACATGGATAATAGGACAAACGTAGCGCTTCTTTGAGACTGCTTCTGTGTGGCTGTTATCCGTGGAGAAAGCCAGATCATGGTATGAATTCATAAATTTGCCTTATTCAGAAGAAAAAAAAAGCCGGTTGAAAGGATAGCGTTTTCCCCTGAATGGGAATCCTCTTCTGGGTATTCTCTCTTATCCACATGCTCATGCAGATAATAGGATGATGCATCTGCAAAGCAATAGGCGTTTCTGTGAAGCAACTGGGGGCACAAATTATAGTCATAGATAATTAGACTGCAGATAAGTCGGTCAATCAGTTTATTTTGGGTAAGGGACCATTGACCTAAGAAGCGCTTAAGAGCAGTTTCAACTGTGTATTGTCTGCCAGCCTGCCAGCTGGAGTGTGTTGGGTCCCTTGAGTCTAAACAGGTCATCTGAAGTGCTGTCCTGTACATTGTTGTCTTACACTGTCACAGGCCAGTCACTGTCTCCTTTAGAGTGCTCGATACAATAATTTTAGTACTTCGGGCACCTATTTTTTTTTGTCTACGGATTGCGGTGTGTGCCTTACTAAGGGCCCGGGGCACTTCGTTCGGTTGACATTAAGTTAGATTTTTTTGTTCAAACATTGCTCCGATGGCAACACAACAACACTGCATTGTGGTTCGCGACACCTCCAAAGATGTGTAATAGATTCCGAGCGCATAGTGCTTGGGCCCTTTATTTGAACTTATTTACAATACAATGTAGAAGGCCAGTAGTACGTGGTAATTTTAGTGATTCAAACTTGGTTAAACCTGTTTTGACTTTCCTAACGTTCTTAACAGGCCTAAGGGTGTTGTAATGTTAAGACAGTAGGTTGCGTTAACTGAATATAAACTGCATACGATAATCATTTACTACTATAATGAGCCAAGAATGTCTGTCCCACGCATGACGTCACTCCACGTCGGCCAGCCCCACTCATTAATAATCATGAACAGGTGATGTCCTCCACATGGATCCCCCCTCCTCTTGAATAATCATGAGCGTGTGACGTCACTCCACATGTAGCACCCCCCCTCATTAATAAACATGAGCAGGTGACGTCACTCCACACCGAACAGCCTCCCTCAATAATCATGAAGAGATGACGTCTTCCAAATAGATACCCCCCCCGCCATTAATATTAATTAGCAGGTGACGTCACTCCACATGGGGCGAGGCGCCTCCTCCCCCCTCTTCAGCGTCAACTCACAACCTTCACTACAAAGGCAGAACCCTCACGTCACGTGATCTCCGTAACGCTGTTGAGACATCAAAGTAAAAAGGACGTCATGATGAACAAGGGATTATAACCATTAAATGAAATAGGTCTGTGTCACCAACGGCCTTACAAATTGCACACGAATTGATGCAATTAATATCACTTCATGGTCTGCTTTTCTCTTGAAAGTTTCAGATTTACTGAAATACACCCGTCCTTGGACGGGCAAAAGGCTAGTTGAGTGTATGTTTATGCAGTGGGGCTTGTCTGTCGTACTTTTAAAGAGAATATGTTTTCATTCCTCGTGTTATAGATACTACATTTAAAAGTAGCACTCATTACTTGACAGGAAAGCAACCAGTTTAATGCAAACAATATCACTAAACCCTCAATGTAAAACCAGATTGTTCAACCCACTTTAAGAACATGACGAAAATGTTTGGCATTGCATTGATTTACACTATTCCACGTCAAAAAGGACACTGTGAGGATAACTCTTTAAACATTGTTTTCTTAAATGCTCATTCAACTTGCTTTAAAATAAGAAATCAAATAAGCCATTGTTTTTTACCTTCGCAATCTCTCCATAACGATTGTTCCGCACAACCTCCCACCTTATCCCGTTGCCCCTCACCTCCTTCCTGTCTCCATCGCCCCAACACCCACTCGTGCGTCGCAGCCGGTGTACTTCTACACATCGCTGTGCCACCCGGCCGTCGTGCTGGTGTTGGAGGTGGTGTGCCTGTCACCGCAGCAGAGGAGCGAACGCGCCAATCCCAATGTGTCATGCGGGTGGGGCATCCTGCGGATCTTCACGGGCGAACAGGACCCCCGGGGCGGCAAGACACACACCTCCGCCGCTGCCAAGCAGGCAAAACGGTTTGTCCCCTCCCCCCGTATATCTTCGGACGTTTCAGATTTTTGTTTTTTATTCGATGATGATGATGATGTCAGCGTTGTGTTTATTTAGGTGACCTGGTAAGCAGCCCGGTTGGCTATGTACCGTGTGAAGGAAGTTCAGTTCTAAGTTCAGGACAGTCCATCGCTGGGGGGTGCAGGGGCCCTGGGGCAATTCCCACCGTGTGGACCCCCCACACCTTCAAACTAAACCGAAACTTTTACATCTGACGTGTACCCTAAGGGATGGCTTCTGCCTGGCAACCCAGCGGTCGCTCGGATGTCCGCTGAGCTGTTTAACACAGCATCGGCGGTCATCCTACACGAAGCACCACCCCCATAAAGACGGTGCGTGTGGCAGTGGTAGCCCCCAGTATATCGCAATGATCGTTTATTTTTTTTACTTTTTATATATTAGGCAGGTGAATGATTCGTCACCCTTGTGATTCAATTAATTGGCACGGTTCAAGTGGCGTGAATCGGTTCCAGCGTCGATTATGGCCAATGCGTGGCTTGTTGATACGGTGGTCACCGACACGTTCAAGTTGAGGTACGTGTGAGCTCCGTCCCTATGCCGGGTACCCAGAAATGGGATCATAATTTGATGATGCCGCCCCTCCCATCTTCTCGCAGGGATGGCGAGGCGAGGTGGGTAGCCCCCGCCCGTGTGATTCCTCTGCCGAAATTTAATTAGTGTAAAAATGTTTCTGATCCAGTGCTGAGGATCTTTTTTTTTCCCCCATCCGATTGTTTCTGTATGTATGTATGTATGTTGAATGTATTTCGCACCGTACGTAGCCAACCGCGCTCATCACAAAAATGTAGTTCCAAAGAAATTCGTTTTCAATCTAAGTTTAAAAGTGCAGAGCTCCAGTGGCTTCCTAATATTGGAAGAAAGAGCGTTCCAGACGGCCGCAGAACCGCATCTGAAAGCACGCGATGCGGTGACCGTCTTTATTTGGGAATATGTGAACCAAATAAACATAACACATACGATCATAACATTAATCTGTAATACGAATGATTGTTTGCATTGTCACGAGTACAATAATCGATCGTATAAATATATACCGTATTATTTACTAAAGTACTGCATCTGATTTAGGGTCGTGTTTACAGACCCAGATATATAATTTATAAGAATAGGGAATTTGGTCATTGACTCATTCAAGGTTACCTCATTAATAGTAGATACATAATAAAAAATGCTTTCAATTGCAAACAAAAATATTATAAATATCCATATATGCTTTGCAAAATTGATATGGAAGCCATATTCTCTTAGCCTTGGTTAAACAGAGGTACATAAAATGCAATTATCAAAATAAACTGAAGTGATGCCAAGGTCTCGCACAGCAAGGATAATGCACAAATGTGGAATTACGGAGGAAAGAATGTTAATTATTTCAAAGTGTGTAAAACTGGCACGTTCTTTAAAAGCATGGCCTCATTAACGCACAGAGACTGACTCGATGTGAAGCACATAGGGTGATTAAAACTTTAAATTCTGCAACCAGGGCTCCCAGCAAAGCTTTTTGCCGACACATTATAAACATCCCGACTTGCTTGGCTCACTGGAATCCAGAAATTTGAGAGCAAACTTGCAATCGTTTGGGAGCACGGCAGACGGCAAAATCGGTATGGAACAGATTGTGGAAGCTATGTTAACACACTATTAAATTCAAACACTCATTTGATAGATGCAGCTTTAACTTTGAAAGGAAAAATAACAGCAAACGGCTCCGCAAAGTAACATGAACGCAGCCAGTGAGGCAATGTGTGCCGTTAAGAGTGCTCTCCAAGTTGACAGCTGGATCTTCACTGCACCCCCACCACAAGTCTGATCAGCCATGCGGTGCTTCCTATAGAGTGCATGTCAGGTTCACACCTGTTCATAATAAAGGTTTTTGGGTTAGATCGCGTTTATTTATAAATGTGTCGTAACCCTCCACCACCCGACACGGCCAATCAGCAAAAAAAAAAGTGCCACGTTGACAAAAGACAAATAGTTCACTACTTCAGCCCACCGGTGTGTTGAAGAGTGAATCCACAACATTTACAGTTTGAGTACGACGTTTCGCTGGTAAATACATCCAGCATCATCGGGCAATTCGCCAGAATGGTAAAGCCCTCGCTTGCTCCCGGTTTTATATAGAGCAGCAGGGTGACGTCATCACTTAACTCATATCACACCTGCCAATGCCACTACCCCTCCTATACTATTCGGAAGCCAGTGGGGAGCTATGCACTTTTACGTCTAGATTGAAAACGAATTGTTGTCCTTCCCCCGTACCTCTGATTAGCGCGGTTGGCTATGTACGGTGCGAAAGACGTTCAACATACATAGGTTGGGACTCTCTTTATTGCTGGCAACTTTATTGGGTTTTTGCTTACGAAAGCGAGAGCCAAACTGAGGGAGATTCAGTCACGAGTGTCACTTGTGCGGAGAGATGCAAACTTGGAGGCAGGCCTGGTCGATCATCAAGTTTTGGCTCGTACTGTGTCCATCACACCTCCTGAGAAGTAACGCAGTGGTGGCTGTAGGATGCAGTTCAGCAAGTAGGTTTATATTTGATTCATGTGAACTGCGCGGCAGCTTTCAGTGTTAATATCGCGCGCATGAATTTTCTCCAAGCGCACCGGCGACCAGCACCACGTGAAAATAATTATTCCGAAAGGAAATTAGCTAATCATCTCCAGTTTGACCCTCCTGAAAACTTCACAAGACCTGGCGAGACCTTTTTTTCGTGAGTATATAATTATTTTGAGTATTAGCATACTTCCCGAGAGAACCTACAACACAGTGCAAGTCACAGTAGCCATGACGCAGTAGTTGCTGAGCAAGACGGGTTTAATATTCACACTTCTTCACACGTCACTTCCACCCTCGACATCCCAGATTAATTCTACCCGTCTCTCAAGACACCTTGACAGATTTAATTCGCGCAATACCACGTCGATGAGTAACAAATGTGTCATGGATTGCAAGTACAAAGAGGTACAAAGAAGAAATTAATAAGAATAATTGTTATTGGACATGTAATGAGAAAACAAGATCCTGAATTTAATGTCTTGTCTGGGACAATTCTAGGCACATTATGCAGCATATTAAGTTACTTAGGCAATTTGAACAATTGGATGTAACTTGGAGTATTGAATGCAAAGTTTGTGAGTCATATTGCGGATAGAGCTAGATTGAAGGAAGGCCATGATCGGTGACATCTTTGAGAAAGGATATGGATCATAGAGAGAGAGAGAGAGATTCTTTAGACACCGAAGGAGGTTAATTAAGGAAAGATTCATATTCTTGGTTCTTTCGGTAAAGTCACGTAGAAGGGAAACAATAAAATAATAACAATATAAAACAATATGTTATTGTTTCCCTTCTACGTGACTTTACCGAAAGAACCAAGAATATGAATCCCTGCAGTCACAAAAGCTTTAAATACAAATTTAAGGAAAGATTATTTGGGAGAACACCAAGAGGAAGAAAAAGAATGACAACGCGAGAACAACATTGAATAGTAAATTGTACTTCGGACCCGCCTATGGAATGAATGAACCCAGGTACATTACAAACCAGATCTTATTTATGTGACAGGAGCTTTTAACTTAAAACATATATAAATAATGAAAATTAGGACACCCAATAACCTTAACACAGTTATCTCTCTTGGCTGTCACGTTGAGTTGACATTGACTGCCCTGAAGGACAACAAGTCATTTGGTCAAAGTTTGTGTCGGCATGGGGCTAATCAGAACGGTGTATGCAGTGCAGATATGGCCCAACATAGAACATCTGACGCACGTGCTTACGTGGGTTATTTTCTTGTCAAAATTGATCGCACGTGCTTGTTCCGGTGCATGTTTCTGAAGGCGTGGAGCATGAATTTGGGAGCGTAGAAATGCTGTATGACAATGTATTTTTCTGCGCGACTCCACTGCTGCTCACAATGTAGCACAACCCCACAAGCCTGGAGGCTATAAGAAGCTGTTATGCGTGGTGGTCAACCAGTCTACGCGCTATCCAGGATTAATACTGCTTAGCTTCCGGGATTTTATGAAATTGGGTCCATTGCGAGTGTTTTTGGGATGGTAACAGTGGCAGCGGTACGTAGTAAAAAAAAACAAGTCTCGGTGTATGTGTGAAGCTCATCTGTTTGACATGTAATACGAAAAAAAAAGTGGGATTGTGGATGATGATACCAGCACAGGGTGGCTTATACCTCAGCACGTGATCACGTCACATGTTTTTTAATGACCACCGTTTTACAGTAATTGCTGACCGAAGAGGATATCAGCCAACGATGTATGGGAACACGTTTATCCGCTTGTTGAACAAATCCAACCCGGCGTGTCGCTGTGCAGTGCCTTCCTGCATGCGTGAGTGGTGTGTTTGCTGTGCTAATAATCGCGCGCCTGGTAAATAGGCGCATCGGACGACGAGATGCTCTGGCGATGCTTTGTGTGGCATTGTCGTCATTGGTTTGTCCCCTGCATTGTTGTTGGTGCACGTGCTCTGACGCGGAGTTCTGTCGTGGTTCTGTCTCCACAGGTTGACTCTTTACCATGGAACCCCACGGGCCCTCCTGATACCTGACTTTGTGGACCCCATTGAATGTAAGAGTTTCCTATTCATATGCTTCATATGAACCGAGTATACAAACAATTTGTATCACGACTTTTGCCATCGGAGTCATGCTACGATGGGAAGGAAACCCGATTTAATGCTGAGGTGGGTATTTGCCATTAACTATTTCGTGGTCTGCTTCACAGTGGCTATTAAAGATCCTGTGAGATAATTCGCAAGGATAGGGCATTGTGTGCCAACGTTGCAGTCCAAATTTGCCAAAGTTGAAACATTTACCTGCAAATGGGTCAATTTATACTTAGGCAATCATCACCCCCTGCTTCATAAACCTGGCAGGACCCAGAGTCATAGCAATTGATGAGACTTTTCTGGGCAAACACGCATAGTAATTATCATAACAATTACAAGACTTCTGTTAGCATTATAACCTTTAGTATTAGACAGTCAGGGAATGGCCCTGTAAATTACACAGCTCAAGTACTTTTGAAGTCGTTGCTGTTGTGTTTAGTAAGAGTAACTTCTCTTACTGAACACGAGACTGCGTCCTCATATTCCGTAGAGGACACTTGTTTACGCTGAAAAGTGAAAAACGAAATCTCTTCCATTTAATTATCTGGGCGAGTTCCGTCGTTTCACTACACTTGAGAACGTTGGTGGATATCCATGGTCAAAGATTTGGTTTTTACATGGGCTTCATTATTAGGCCCCCTGGGTCGCCAAGATACCATAACGTTTTTTGTGATGTGACTGCAATAATTATTTAAACTTTAGGTTGTCACCGAGTGACTGAAATGCATTCACACATCGGTTCGCGTGTAAACGTTCAGACAGGCTTACACATTTGACACGGCATGAGCAGCACATCCCTTCGCTCAAAGGCAAGAGGGCCATACAATCATAGCGTGTGATATCTGCGCTCCTCGTTAACATAGTTATTTAGCCGCATGCCTTTTGCGTTTTACGATGCGAAGTGACCCGCGTTGTGCGAGCTCCTGCATGGGATCAATCGTACTCTGCAACAATCGCAAGCTTTGGTTAATGTGATCCATGTAAAACCGCATTAATCTGTTTCCAAGCTGCACTGTTTACAAGCGGTGTACGGCGATTAATTTACGCCTTGAAAGAGCGAGCGGGGTAGTTCACAGCGTGTCGGGTGAGAATGGCTCTGTGTGGGTGTTTGTGCTGCACTCGTCTTGGTGGGGGGAGGGCAGTGGGGGGCGACTTCTGCACGTGCCAGTACACGCCTGTCGTGTGAGTGTGTGTGGGGAGTGGTAGTGTGTCGCGCGCTTCGCTGGGTTCGCACTCACGGCCAACACCAGTGATGATTCACTGAACCGGTCCTGTGCCTCCCCGAGGTCGACTCGGCCTCAAATGACTACCTGGTGCTGTGTGTAAACATCGCCACTGGGGAGACAAAGGCGGTCGGGCGTGGTGCTGGCCATCCCCACCCCCCTTGTGTGCCGTGCCGGCCTTCACTAGTACTCCCTAACAGCACTTGCCCTGACAGTCTCTTGAGGCTATACAGGGGGATCTTTGTCTTTGTCGTGTATTGGTGTGGCCCTGTGTGTTGTGTGGGTTGCCATGCCAGTGTGGGTGGAAAGGTGCTAAGGGGTGACGGAGGATGCGCAGGGATTTACGGCTGCCCTGGTAAAACGAAAACACTGATTGAAACCACTCAGGCGGATTTTAATGTGTGCCATCCTAGCAGCCCTCACTGTGGGCTCAGCCATTTATATTGGCTTTAAAAAAATCCATTTTGCTTTTCTCTAATTAGGAAACGGTGTGAAACATTGATTAGTGAAAGCAAATATAGGGGAATAAAAGTGACACTGTGGAAGAAAAATCTTAAGTTTTAGGGAATGAATAAAATAGAATATATATGCTCACGCAGTTGCATTTTCATTATTTGATTTCTAATCTAATCCAGGCTGTAATGAGTTATTTCAGGGCGTCCTTGATATTAATGCTCGTTGGGCTATTTGACACGCCTGCCCAGTCTCACTAGGCAGAGTAAATAAATAATCAACCCAAAGTTTTTTTTACTTATTGTGACGTGGAGGCTGCGGCAATGTAGAATTGCGAGTGGAAGTTCAAAATCTGGTGGAATTTCAAGTTTTTTTAATGGCATTTACAACGCGTCACCAATCAATAGCTTTTTTTTTTTAAATCGACATTCATGGATTTTTTTTCCTCCCGACATAACATTGGTTTGCACAATCTTATTCGAGTGCAATCGGAAACATGTTAATTAAAAATGGGTATTGTTAAATTGGTCAACAGCAGAGTGTAAAAAAAAACAAGTTACGTCCTGTTTTCTCGCGAAGTTGGTTGTGGAATCGAGAAGCCTTTTTTCCTTCCCCAAACAGACCCCTGCAGCTGTGCTGCACATTGAATGTTAATAATTTGTTGTTACCATACCGGCTGTTCGGACCTGATGAGGCATTCCTATACTTATCCTTTACTTGTTATCTGCTGTAGGTTGCGCGCAAGTTTGAATATCGCATAATTACCGCAAATGACTTATGTATTTGCGGTCTCGCCGTGGAAAGCCTTAAATATTAGAATGTTCTGCGTGGGGTGGTGGGAAATGGTTCGCGTTGTGTTAGCGAGCATCGTGCGAAGAGAGCAGAATTTGTCATCAAATTCGACGGTACAGGTGTTTTACATTACGAAAGCCAAATGTGTGTGAAATAGACTTGCTTCGGATAATTTTCTTTAATTTGAAAACAGCTTGTATATAAGATGTGTTTTATGCGTTTTTTTCATGTTGCATTTTTGATTCATGCCAGTTGAATGTGTGTTTTTAAACCTGAATTTAAATTTGACTCTTAATAGAACCGTTATAATAAAAATTCAGATGATGATGATTTTCATTCTGTCAAAACTCTGTGGAAAATAAACACTGGGAAAAAAAATCAAGCTCTCTAAAGAGATTGTAAGTACTAGACTAGCCACTATAAATTTCCCACCATATGGTTGTGTTTACCAGGGAGTCAATTTGTTAAGAATAACAGCTTTAAAACAACCTCCTTCATCGTTTCACTTCTTGCCCGTTGGCAAATTAGGCCAATGTGTGCTCTATCTCTTTGTTCCTATCTTGTCCTTCTGGCTCCCTCCCAGCTATTCCAACCGAACCTTATTTAATCTCTCCCTCCAGTCATCCTTTGCATTATTGCTCCAAGTCTTCCTCGCATTTCTTCCTGCCGTATGGGTTTCTTCTCATGCTGGGTCCTTCCCGTGTGCCTTCGTGAATCATCACTGTGACACCGTGCGGCCGATTCGTATCAGATATCAGCCTGATACAGGCAATACCCCGGTTTACACCCAAGATGCGTTCCTGAAAACCATAACGTAAACTGAATCGCTTAAATCGAAGCAAAGAGATGGGATTGTGTATTTTAACGTGTTACAGAGTACCTACTCGCTACTACTAGTAGTGGTAGTAGGGAGTAGGTACGACTGCTAGAGATGGGACGGGGGATTGTAACGTGGTACAGTACCTATATAGAGGATACTCAGTAACCCTTTGCGCATCTCTACTGTACAGCAATCAGTGTGAAAAGTAAGTGTATATTATTAACATGTTGAGATATTACCTTGTCAGTTATACTATACGTATTATTAGGTGTTTTTATCATATAAAAAAAATACTTTACACTTGTATAAGTTTCAAGTTTCATTTGTTAGGTATAGCCCTGTGAGCCATGCGGCTCTTAAGTCGGGTGCAACCGCAACAAACAAAATATGAATCTACATTGCAGAAAACTATTACACCACAAGCAGACCAAAATAAAGCTACAAAACAATGTAACAACAGTAATCATAGGAACTGTGATTTTTAATTTAACAATAAACGATATACATAACGCGTACGACAAAACCTGCAGCCATAGCTGGCAGCACGACACTCCCAGTGTATGATGTGTGAGTGAGTCAGCGGCAGCGAGAGTGAGTGTATGATGTGCGAGTCAGCGTATGATGTGCGAGTCAGCGTATGATGTGCGAGTCAGTATTAGGTTGAGTGAGTGTATGATGTGTGAGTCAGCGCACGATGTGTTAGCGGCAGTGTGAGTGAGTGTATGATGTGCGAGTGAGCCATCACATGATGAGTGAACCTGCGTATGATGAGTGAATGGGTCAGTGGTTGTGCGAGTGAATGATGTGTGAGTGAGTAAGCGCATGATGAGCAAGTCAGTGCATGATGTGTGAGTAAGTGCATGATGAGCGAGTCAGTGCATGATGTCTGAGTGAGTCAGTGGTTGTGCGAGTGTATGATGTGTGAGTGAGTAAGTGCATGATGCGTGAGTTAGTCAGTGCATGGTGTGAGTGAGTCAGTGTATGATGTGTGAGTGAGTCAGTGTATGATGTGTGAGTGAGTCAGTGCATGATGTGTGAGTGAGTCAGTGTATGATGTGAGTGAGTCAGTGTATGATGTGTGAGTGAGTCAGTGCATGATGTGTGAGTGAGTCAGTGTATGATGTGAGTGAGTCAGTGTATGATGTGTGAGTGAGTCAGTGCATGATGTGTGAGTGAGTCAGTGTATGATGTGAGTGAGTCAGTGTATGATGTGTGAGTGAGTCAGTGTATGATGTGTGAGTGAGTCAGTGTATGATGTGTGAGTCAGTCAGTGTATGATGTGTGAGTGAGTCAGTGCATGATGTATGAGTGAGTCAGTGCATGATGTGTGAGTGAGTCAGTGTATGATGTGTGAGTGAGTCAGTGTATGATGTGTGAGTGAGTCAGTGTATGATGTGTGAGTGAGTCAGTGTATGATGTGTGAGTGAGTCAGTGTATGATGTGTGAGTGAGTCAGTGTATGATGTGTGAGTGAGTCAGTGTATGATGTGTGAGTGAGTCAGTGTATGATGTGTGAGTGAGTCAGTTTATGATGTGTGAGTGAGTCAGTGTATGATGTGTGAGTGAGTCAGTGTATGATGTGTGAGTGAGTCAGTGTATGATGTGTGAGTGAGTCAGTGTATGATGTGTGAGTGAGTCAGTGTATGATGTGTGAGTGAGTCAGTGTATGATGT